CTCTCTCTCTCTCTCACACACACACACACACACACACACACACACACACACACTCACACACAGACGTTCTGGCATCTCCCTTTTCTTCTTTGAACAGACAATGCAGGGCATACATATTAAACCCAATAACAGCAAAACAAACATTATATTATATAATTTCTCGAATGTTAAAAAGCTGTCCATACAGTTTCAAACCCTCAACACTTGCTTTGACAGAGGGTTTCATGTAATAAACCTGAGTTTTAAAAAACAAAAATAAGAAACAAAAGTGTTTTCAAAATCCCAAACAAGACAGCAACAAGCACGAAAGGAACAACAAAAAATGAAAGGGAAAAAATCTCAGGATCTCGAAAACATACACAATATATTAGCAGAAAAACAAAATAAAAAGGTCTGTAACATCAACATATCCAAGTAATGATCCTAAGTACCTTATTCTTCTCGAAGAAAAGCAATGTAAGAGACGAGGAAGAAATAAACAAGAAGATTTTGTAAATATACCCAACACATCCCAAGTGATTATCATTTACATTGTTCAGTAATTAATTATCAGTGAAAAGGGACGAAAACATTACCTTCTCAGACGTGAAGATCGCTTGCAACAGAAGCAAGCTATGGAGGTGAAATTAAGTCAGGCTGCTGTACTTTGAGAACTTTTTTAAGGTTAACAATGGCGAAAATGTTGAAGGAGAAGACAAAGGGATAAAGGTGAAAAAAGATAGCACAGATGCTGACAAAAAGTTGGGAGCTCAAAAGGCTTCAGGCGCCTTGCATTTTACTACAAGCACTCAACAAAAGAATACAAAGAGCAGCAGTGTAGTAATGATATATATTCTTTATTGTGAGAAGTCCTAATAAATTTTTTTCACGTCGCCTAATAAAAAACTAAGTTTTTTATCTCAGAAAGTGCGAAAGGCATTGTACGATGAATATGCGACTGTTACGCGATGACATTGTACGGAAGTTAAAAGTGCAAAGGCATTCGCATATCCTTTCGCACTTTCAGGGGTGGAAAAAGGTAAAATGCGAAATATTGCGCGATGAATATGTGACAGTTATGCAGTACATTTGCATAATATTCGCACTTTCTGGGGTGAAAAAGTTGGATTATTAATTGGCGGTGTGAAATTGCCTTGAATTTTAAAATTATAGAATCAAATAGCAAAAATGTTCAATTCTTAGGAGTAAAAAAGTTACTGGATCAAACCAATAGAAGTATAGAACCAAAATTGCAATTTTGCCTTTTATTATTACAAAATCGAAAGATAATAGTGACATGCTGGAATTAGATATATATCTCGTTCAGTACTATTTTACTAGTATTCATCCTGTGCACATGCACAAAGAAAAATAAAAATTTATATATTATATTTATGTATACAATATATACAAAATTTATATTAAATAATTGATGTATTACATTTTAAATTTGGACTACATGCAAATGTGTAATGTAAATATAATTTATTTAACTTACGTATGAATCCTTATATTGATGCCATAAATTTTAATGACTAATATAATTTAGTAATTTAGAGAGACCATACAATTAATTAGTTAAAAAAATATTACAATTATTTTTATCATTGTTATAGCATTTGTTTATGTGATTTTAAGGTGTTTAATTATGACACTCATGTCAATTAACTTATTAGATAAAAATCGCTTAAAAAGAACAAAAATATTTTATTATAGAAAAAATATTTTAAAAAAAAAGTTGCAATACAATTTTTTATAAGTATGTAACTTCCACATACTATTTAATGTAAAGTTGTAATCAATTAGTGTTAGTAGTGAATAAATTATATTAAAATTCTTATTACACCTTATTAATGTAAAATGTAACGGTTCTACATTAATTGAAAAAATGAGCGGGAAAATGAATGGAGGTTTTATTAAATGTTTTATTAAATTCTATATGCTAGCAATTATATATATATAGATTCAATCAATTTATTTTATTAAAGTATGAAGAATAATAAATCAATTGCCATATGATATGAGAATAGTAAAATAATAATAAGTTGATATAAATATGTGATGAATGGATTAATAGTAAATTTAATAAATAAAAATGTACATCAATAATTATAAATGTACAACATTTATTGATTTTTAATTTTTTATATTAAAAAAATGTGTGTGGAGTAATGAGAGTAAAATTAAATTAAACAAAAAATGAAAATAGTTTTTTTTTAAAAAAAAAATTATTCAGAATAGTTTGAAGATAAGTTTTCTCTATGTAATAAATTTGAACCTTTAAACATAAAAATAAAAATAATAATAATAATAAAAAAATGAATCCCA